TAGGTTAACTTAGAAAGTATACTTTTAAGTTGTTACTTTACTCTGTACAGAAGCTAGACACCACTTTGAGCTATGTAGACACGTACAGTGGATTCACCTGTAATTTATTATACCCGGTGTCCTGTCACAGACCTGTGGGGCCAGTAGAAGAATTCATTGTTAACAATTAAAGGTTATCTGGGTTAAATGACCGTTATCTGGTTACATAAGGAGTGTGGTCAGCGATTCTAGCTGTAGTCTGTGTGGTCTCAAGGAGATTCCCATACACTACACCTTTAGTCATTTTCATTTCTTAAGCTACCTAAGAAAGCATGTCTCCAGAAATATTTTTGATAAAAACAGTCTCAGAAGATGGATAAGAATATTTCTAATAATGCTTTTCTTGAATTACAAAACTATCTACCTTCTTATACGTTACATTTCCTATTTGTGTTACTGTAAAGAGTTATCTCCCTAAAGGGATACATTGTATTTGTGATTTGTGAAAAGATATGTTATGTACTGCAATGACTCGATTCGGCAATGCTTTGTTTAACACTTTGTTATAGATGTGTGAGAGTATACGAGTCCCATCATCTAGACTTAAAACTGGCCCATTGGGTGTATCCAGATGGTTTCCTTTGTCTGCTGCTTTAACAGATTGAACGTCACATATAAACACTTCTTGGTTGTGCTATATGAATATTTTCACAATCCATATTTACCAACATGAAGAATTGTTTTAGAAATATCTGTGATTTGTTTTGAAGTTAAGGTTGTATGCTACAGTGCACATTATACCTGTCTGTGATTTGTTCTCGAGTTATAGGTATATGCTACAGTCCACATTATATCTGTCTTTGATTTGTTCTCGAGTTATGGGTATATGCTATAGTCCACATTACACCTGTCTGTGATTTGTTCTCGAGTTATTGGTATATGCTACAGTCCATATTATACCTGTCTGTGGTTTGTTTTGAAGTTAGGGTTGTATGCTACAGTGCACATTATCCCTGTCTGTGGTTTGTTTTGAAGTGAAGGTTGTAAGCTACAGTCCATATTATGCCTGTCTGTGGTTTGTTTTGAAGTGAAGGTTGTAAGCTACAGTCCATATTATACCTGTCTGTGATTTGTTCTTGAGTTATGGGTATATGCTACAGTCCACATTTTATCTGTCTGTGATTTGTTCTCGAGTTACGGGTATATGCTACAGTGCACATAATTATACCTGTCTGGGGTTTGTTCTCGAGTTATGGGTATATGCTCCAGTCCACATTATACCTGTCTGTAGTTTGTTCTCGAGTTATTTGTATATGCTACAGTCCACATTATATCTGTCTGCGATTTGTTCTCGAGTTATGGGTATATGCTATAGTCCTCATTATACCTGTCTGTGATTTGTTCTCGATTTATTGGTATATGCTACAGTGCACATTATACCTGTCTGTGATTTGTTCTTGAGTTATGGGTATATGCTACAGTCCACATTATACCTGTCTGTGGTTTGTTCTCGAGTTATGGGTCTATGCTATAGTCCACATTATACCTGTCTGTGATTTGTTCTTGAGTTATGGGTATATGCTACAGTCCACATTATATTTGTCTGTGATTTGTTCTCGAGTTACGGGTATATGCTACAGTGCACATAATTATACCTGTCTGTGGTTTGTTTTGAAGTTAAGGTTGTAAGCTACAGTCCATATTATACCTGTCTGTGGTTTGTTTTGAAGTTAAGGTTGTATGCTACAGTCCACATTATACCTGTCTGTAGTTTGTTCTCGAGTTATTGGTATATGCTACAGTCCATATTATACCTGTCTGTGATTTGTTCTCGAGTTATTGGTATATGCTACAGTCCACATTATACCTGTCTGTGATTTGTTCTCGAGTTATTGGTATATGCTACAGTCCATATTATTCCTGTCTGTGATTTGTTCTCGAGTTATTGGTATATGCTACAGTCCATATTATTCCTGTCTGTGATTTGTTCTCGAGTTATGGGTACATGCTACAGTGCACATAATTATACCTGTCTGTGGTTTGTTGTGAAGTTAAGGTTGTATGCTACAGTCCACATTATACCTGTCTGTGGTTTGCTCTCGAGTTATGGGTATATGCTACAGTGCACATTATACCTGTCTGTGATTTGTTCTCGAGTTATGGGTACATGCTACAGTGCACATAATTATACCTGTCTGCGGTTTGTTTTGAAGTTAAGGTTGTATGCTACAGTGCACATTATACCCGTCTGTGATTTGTTCTCGAGTTATGGGTACATGCTACAGTGCACATTATTATACCTGTCTGTGGTTTGCTCTCGAGTTAAGGTTGTATGCTACAGTGCACATTATACCTGTCTGTGGTTTGTTCTCTAGTTATGGGTATATGCTACAGTGCACATTATACCTGTCTGTGTTTTGTTCTCGAGTTATGGGTATATGCTATAGTCCACATTATACCTGTCTGTGATTTGTTCTCGAGTTATGGGTACATGCTACAGTGCACATTATTATACCTGTCTGTGGTTTGCTCTCGAGTTAAGGTCGTATGCTACAGTGCACATTATACCTGTCTGTGGGTTGTTCTAGAGTTATAGGTATATGCTACAGTGCACATTATACCTGTCTGTGGTTTGTTCTCGCGTTATGGGTATATGCTACAGTCCACATTATTCCTGTCTGTGGTTTGTTCTAGAGTTATACGTATATGCTACAGTCCACATTATACCTGTCTGGGATTTGTTCTAGAGTTATAGGTATATGCTACAGACCACATTATACCTGTCTGTGGTTTGTTCTCGAGTTTTGGGTATATGCTACAGTCCACATTATACCTGTCTGTGGTTTGTTCTAGAGTTATAGGTATATGCTACAGTGCACATTATACCTGTCTGTGGTTTGTTCTCGAGTTATGGGTATATGCTACAGTGCACATTATACCTGTCTGTGGTTTGTTCTAGAGTTATACGTATATGCTACAGTCCACATTATACCTGTCTGTGATTTGTTCTCGAGTTATTGGTATATGCTTCCTTATATATTAAAACTGTGTTTTATGTTTGAGTTGTCTTCTTATTGGAAAATATCTATAATGGCAAAATCTGTGAATAAAAAAAAAATGTGGATGGTCGTGAAATGATTAATGGAAATAAGTTTAAAACTTATTTGCTTAAATCATTTTCATGTTATGTTTATAAACATTTTTCACTACATTCTTGTGAGGAAAGGTTGTGACCTTTATTACCAGTAATATCAAAGTAATATTTCAAAATGCAGAGTTTATTCTGCGAGACAGGACATAACAATCATATTTAAATGTATCAATATCACTGGAGCGTTTACGGTGCTTAATTGACAGCCAGACATAGCTTTATTTTACTTGCAAATTCCAAGTAGGAAAGCTTGAGAAGGATTTCACCAGTAACATCCTTACTTGAGTGACAGGTTCTGATTTAGCTGCTGAAGCTAAAGTACCCGAACCCCAGTGTTAGGTGCTAGATTGTCCTGTCGGGGTGGCAAGATCAAACGGCCAGATTGGACAGACAGCTGTTCATTTGTGGTTGGTTATAGTGTGATTGGGACTGTATCAGCCTTGTATCACTACGACACGGACACGACACTCAGTCTTATCATGTGTCCAATTTATGTATCATCTCCCTCGTAAAACATAAACACTGAATTACAGATTAGAGAGACTACAGTTGTCGGGGGTTTAATACGCTTGTGTGTAAGGGCTAGGATACTCCTCTGTCCTCCAGCTCAGGGTTTATCATTGACTTTAAATAGATTCTCTGAATAGCTGTGACTCTGGGTGTGAATTCTTCCATCTCCGTCGCAGACAGTGGACACCGTGCTGTGAGGAAGGTCCAAGTCATATTTGTGAAAAGTTACTTGCTATAAAATGAAATTTAGTATTTTTCTCAAGTTTTAAAAGACATAAAAGTGTACAGAAACACAGTCTATCGTAACATGAAAGAAATTTCATGGTGCACAAGAAATTGTGAAAAAAATGAATGACATGTTGAAGGTGATTATTTAAATTTGACTTAGGAAGAAAACTTTTTTGTCACTGATGAGCGAAAATTTTGTTTGCCACTTTGCACAAAGTTTAGGGGGCCACCCAAACATTTAATTAATGGTTTACCTGTGCACGCCTGTAGGTAGGTGTATCAGCCCCGACCCTGTTATACCGCACTGTCAAACACTAAAGTGAACTTCGCTTTTATGGTTGTGCTATAATTACAGGAATGAGCCATCGGAGANGGGGGGGCACCTCACCACTCTCTTCTGTAATAACTCATCAGTACAATCTACACAAAAACAATGCTGTTTAAACACCGTGATTTATTGACCTTGATAAAAGTGCATTATAAAATAACAAAGCATTTTTAAAAAGGTGACAGGCGAACTCTATAGACGCCCTTCATGTGTTATTTAAGGTGGAATTGTGTTCGTAAAAGATGAAGGAGGGGAGAAATTTCTATAAATATGGTAGTTTATTGTTATAGAAATTCAAGAAAAATTAGAAAATAAAAGATGGTGTGAAGGTGTTGTAATTAATCAATGTTATGAGAAAAATAACCAAGTTTGTGTGCCTGGAGACTTTGTAAGTGATGGCATTACACTATACACAGAGATTTATCAGTAACACAGGGACCAGAGGAAATACACAAGTTGTCTGTATGTTTGATTTATTGTAAAAATTAATTGACTAAAAGTAGATGATATTTTATGGTGATGAGACACTTTGTAAGTTTAAGCTAAAGTTCAGTGATTTACATGGAGTAAATCAGATAAAGTAACAAGTTCATGGCTCCAAGGACCTATTGAAGTTTGAGATATTTTGGTTAGGAGAAATTGTTTGTAAGGTCGCTTGTTCTTTTTATTGACCAAATATATCTACCATCAAAACTGTGTATTCATGATTTTTTCTTGAAGCAACATAAAATATGTAGAACAATTTGATGCAGCTGAAAAGAAATATTTAAGCATTTTATTGAGAGTTTTTTTTTGATGTTACAGGAGTTTGATATTGATCCAGAGGCTGACGGGGAACAAGTTGATGAACTTTTGGCAGCATGTGTAAAACAGGCAGTACAGTCACAGCCGTGAATCAGATTCAAGATCACCCAGAAGCTAAGAACATCATATGCCAGGTCCCACAGACGTTTAAAGCATCCAGTTCCAGGTCACACAGAAGTTTGAATTAATAAAGTTTACTTGGAGTATGAAGCAGACCATTGACCTAATGTGATCTTGGAAACAAACCTAATTTTATATAAAGGGGACTTTGGATCATAAATTGGATCTGGATTTTACTTCATCTTGGAATAAAAGAATCAGTATCTTATGAAAACTTTGATTTTAAGGATAAAAGTGATGGTACATCAGGGTTAGGGCAGAGTACACAGACCTGTATAAAGCAGGAGTCTGTTAAACAAGCCCTTCGACCCAAACTTTCTATAATGTACTCCACGTACTGATGCGGATGTAGCTTCTTCAGCTGTGTATTGAAGGTGAAACAGGAGTTGTGAGTTATACAGAGATTTGTATTTTAAATGCAATCAGACAGAGAACTACAGCAGAAGTGTCAGCCTTGGTGTAGAGCAGTGTCACTTCCTACTCTTACGAGGAGTATTCTGAAGGTGTCTACATACGATTTTCAGCATCATATGTAATACTTGTATATTTTAAACATTGAAAGTGACATCTTCATGTGACAATATGAAGTTTTATTATAAGTTTGACTGTTAATGATTTGCCATAATTTATTACTTTGATCATTAAGTAAATGTGAATCAATCATGCTCGCATTTCATCCATTGAATTTATTATGAATCTCTGTACACCAGAGCATCTAGGTGGTTTCTGAATTCTATATAACAAATCTTAGAAGGGCCAACTTCTACAGAGACAGGAGCTGCAGTGCAGAGAGAAGTCGGTGTCTACATCAAATTACTGTAGCTTAAAACCCGCGTCACATGATGAATGATTAACACTGTCCGATACTTCTAAGAATGATGTGCCGATCTGTAAAGGGGAGGGCAGTTGTCAGGATAAATCCATTTTTATAAAGAAGTTGATTTAGTTTGTAAAAGGTTGTAAAGTTCACAGCTTTGACAACTGCGGGCTTCTGATAGACCTGTCTTTTGTAGGTCTTAATGATGGGTGATGTGCAAATTTCATTGTGTACTGTTGACATTGAGTTTGTACTGATAAACGACTGAAGAAATATACAGTAAAACCTGTCGTAAAAGGTCAGTCGAGGAACAGAGCAAGCTGATAGGGATTTCCACACTTCCGGTCAGGGAAAGATATTTCTGTCTTACCCTAAAGTAAAGATGGGAGAATCCCCCCTTATAACAATAGTATGACGACACGTCAACAATAGCAGATCACAGAAGATAACACTCATTTGCTAGTTTAAGCAGTCAACCTTTGCATTTTATGAATTTACTATTTGTATCATTCCCGCTTCTTGAGAAAAACAAATTTCGATAGAGAAACTTGCCAAATAGGTTTAGAAATATCCCAGTTAAAATGAGCACATGTTAATGATGCTTTATACAAAGTAAGTATCCGTACATAGGTAATCTCTTTAACTCATTCACCCTTGAAATTTTATAATGAACTATTCCAGCCTTTGAATTGGAAGAGTTCAAATGTGTCTTCAGATACCACTAGGTAAGGTGTTTTGATAAAAGCTTTGTCCTCAACTTCCATTATATATATTACCATTTAATTGTTTTGTCATAAATTACTTTGTGTAAATATGACGAAATTGTGTTCGCTACAGAGCAGTCAAGATAACACGTCAAGATAACACGCAACTTTTCCAGGTGACGATGACACCCCCCCCCCTCTGTCGTCATGCATACATCATATACCCATCATATCAACCCTACATCTGACCATTGTACATATGTAAATAATATAGGGGTGTACATATTGTACCTGTTGTATATTATACACCATTTATATAATTACTTTACATCATTATATAAAGGTGTTTTAGCGGATTTTTGCAAATTTTCTTGCTTCTTTATTATTGTAGTTCATTTATAATGAAAGAACTACAGGATTTACCTATATTTACTAAATAAAACACTAACCATGTCAAAGCAGTTCTATAACCCTTTCTGTAGCTGTTATAGAAGCAGTTCTATAACCCTTTCTGTAGCTGTTATAGAAGCAGTTCTATAACCCTTCCTGTAACTGTTATAGAAGCAGTTCTATAACCCTTCCTGTAGCTGTTATAGAAGCAGTTCTATAACCCTTCCTGTAGCTGTTTTGTTTCACACTTATGTTGAACATGTCAATTGGAAAAACTGGTTTTCAAGAAATTGGAAACATGCCACTTTTATATGTTGACTGAAATATCGTAACATGCATAATATAGAGACTTTGTGTGGAAAGATTTAACATATCAAACTGTGGTACGTTTCTGGTATCCCAATCCATTGTTTGGTACACTGAAATTTGTCTGACGAAAACTGGGCAGAATTTAACTAAGGAAAAGTTTTCAACATCACAACAGAGTTAAACGTGTAAAATCTGAACAGTCCACCTAACTGCACCTTTTGCAGAACTGTTACTGGTAATAGTCGACAATAATAAACCTACTTTCATGTTTGTTTTCATATTGACATAGATGATGGTGTTATAAATTGTATCATTTAATGAGCCTTAACAATTAAAAGGGACGACCTTTTTTTTATTTCTTTCCTGATCCTTGTTTCATTTGAATGGGGGGAAAAAACATCCATTTTTTTTCATGCAAAAAAAAAATGGAAATTAATTTAAACTCTCGTGTATTGGCGTACTTTCTTCAGTTTTATCAGTTCTGTTCCGAAAGTGTGAAAAGAACCCTTATTTTACATTGGTTTGCCCCCATCATTAATACCATAGTAGGAAAGACCTATTACCAACACCAGGTATGCTACCTACCTATATAGCATAGATCATGTAAGCTGTTTATTGACATCATTGAGGTCATAATAACATAACTCTTTTATATTTTTAAAGTTTTAAGAGGGGCGAGTGCTAGTGTGATTGTGTGAGTTGACATGTAATTTTAGTTTGTTCTCATCCTATTGAAGGTGTCTGAGGCAGCATTGTATGCTGAGTTGTACACCAATATTATCATCGCTTTACGTACTTCACTTCCTGTGTACCGACCTAGATGTTCTTGTGTTGTTTTAGTACTAGAAATGTCCAGTAATGATTGGTTCACTCGAGTTCATGTGTCCTGTTTCTATCTGAAATGTATATAACAAATAGATGGTAGTTAGTCCTTCTGATGCGGAGTAAGGTGAAAAACTACAAATTTATTGTGGTGGAATTATTTGATCTCGTAAATCAAACAGCTGAGTTTTACTTGTATAAATGTTTGTCGATCATTTCGTTTGTAATGGTCAGTTTGACTGAAAGCTTTTTTTTCACAATGCAGGTGTTTCAGACAATTTTATGTTAGAAAAAACAGATTTATCAGGGTCCGTCGGACACTCCCAATAGGATTTATATCAGGAATCTAATGGAGTCTACACACAAACATTAATTCACATCAAAATGACCACAAAGTCTATTGTCTAGAGTTGTGGGATTTCACTGAATAGCTCCTAACAGCTCATAACAGCTCATAACATACACAAAACCACATAGCTTGCTTAGCTTGCCAATTGAGAATACAAGAATTTATTTTGAGGCTGTCTTTATATCCCTGTATCCACATGTTATTTATCTACCCCAAAAAAACAAAAGAAATATTATTTTTGTATGTTGCATTACATCTTATGCTGGTTGAATTATAGAGCATTTATGAATTGGTTTTCAGATTTGATAAATGCTATTATAATTTATATGGTCCTTCACATTTACACAATAGGCATACCTGGATCCTGGTAATATTAGTCAACAGCTGGTGACATACAATCCCATGTGTTCACTTCATTGTACAACATGGCTTCTGTCATCTCTAAACTCTATACAATTTTGTGTAATTTCTTTTTCATTTACTGAAGTTTTCACTGTGCTGGTACTAACTGTAGTTGAGTCTTTAAATTTTTCATTTAATGTAATCACAGTATGATTATATCAACAGACCTACTAAAGTTAACACAGCAAAAGCTCTTTATAGTGGCACTATTATAGTCACCAGACCAATGACAGTTATACAGTAATGGTTGTCATAGTCATGGTTGTCATAGTCATCAGACCAATGACAGTTATACAGTACTGGTTGTCATAGTCACCAGACCAATGACAGTTATACAGTACTGGTTGTCATAGTCACCAGACCAATGACAGTTATACAGTACTGGTTGTCATAGTCACCAGACCAATGACAGTTATACAGTACTGGTTGTCATAGTCACCAGACCAATGACAGTTATACAGTACTGGTTGTCATAGTCACCAGACCAATGACAGTTATACAGTACTGGTTGTCATAGTCACCAGACCAATGACAGTTATACAGTAATGGTTGTCATAGTCACCAGACCAATGACAGTTATACAGTACCGGTTATCATAGTCACCAGACCAATGACAGTTATACAGTACTGGTTGTCATAGTCACCAGACCAATGACAGTTATACAGCACTGGTTGTCATAGTCACCAGACCAATGACAGTTACACAGCACTGGTTGTCATAGTCACCAGACCAATGCCAGTTATACAGTACTGGATGTTATTGTCTAGCTTAAACTTTATAAACCTGTCAAAACCTGAATTTAGACTTATTTTGATGACTATGGTTGTTGGCAGTATCCATTATGAATATAGTGTTCCGATTCCTTGGTAGAACAATGACATGGTATTTTATTGGTGAAATGGTCAATTAACACTACTATACTGAGTAATCAGCTGTTTGAATAAGAAGGTTTTCAGTAGATTTATTTATAGACTTTTATTTGCAGGAATTTTAGGATGAAAATTTTGATGTTTACATATTTACAGTATTTTGTTTTAGACCACCTGTGCCAAGTACATCTGTCATTTGCTGTCAATTTAGCACTAAATATGTACAAATCACCTTTTCAGTGAAGTAGAATCGCATAGACATGGAGCATCTGATAGTCTGTAACTGAGGAGCCTTAACTAACAAGCTTGTGCTATTTCCCATGTTGCTGTGATTTTGAATAGTCAGTAAATTTGCAGATGCAAAGAGTCTATTGGGGGTATATATTGATCGCTGAAATACCCATGTCAGATGGGACGCAATGAATTAAATTGATATTCAAAACATCGCATTTTAATGCTGTAAAACACATTTTACCAACAGTTTTTCATTTGGTTAGACAAATTCAAATTAGGAAATGATCCTTTGAAAAAACAAACATATACTAAAAATAATTAGTTTTCTTCAAAGAGTTTTATTTTGTGGGGTTTGTATTGACGTTTCATAGAAGGGCATCAGTTTTTTGCCGAAAATCTTTATTTTCAAAGATTAAGCAAATGTTCTTTAAAAGTGCACCACATTCATATTTTCTTTCCAAGTTACTCTTGAAGACACTGTTTTAAGGATCATGTCATTAAAATATTGTGAGACACAATGTTAAGTTTTACTGTCGATTTATATATTTTAAAGGATTTATTTAATTTTAAAACGTTTTCATTTAAAGAAAGGTTTTTTAACGATTGTTATATTCTGCTTTCTTAGAAACGTCCTTTTTATCCAAGACACCGGTAATGTGTCCAGCACACATTCAATGAAACAGTGGGCAATTTCTCAAGCTCTACATTAGAAATATTTATTAAACAAGTTTGGCTTAATTATTCAGCGGCTGCCGTCTTAAAAAAATATTCGTCGCTAAAATAGTCCCCTTCATGAAGCATGAAATTGCCCCACAGTTTTGGAATACACTCGAATTTTCGAAATCGTCCATTGTTACAATCTTAAAAAGAAAATGCTACTTTTGATGGTTATTGAGGTTAAATCTAAAGAGACCTAACTATGTGAATATTGGTTTTGGTCTTTCAGCGCCTATTACATCTTGAAATACGTAACCAATGCTGATCTGGTTCAAATGATGAACTTTATTTGGGTTTCTTGTTTCAAACGACTATTATTATAACCTTGAAAATCACAAAACATTTTTAACAACTTTTCGGTATAATATCACGATTTCCTGTGTTTGTAATCTAGCGCGACGGCATGTGTTTCCGAATCATTTATTGTATCATTTTCTTCAAAGGCATTCATAAAATAACTTGATATAGTACTGGTGACTGGAACTACTTTTAACTTACTTACCATCACTGTTTTCTATGTATGTATAATATTTAACAGGAACTATTTTATCTATTGTGCGTTTACACTTTTTGATGAAAACTGTTATCTGATGTCTGAACACTTTCTAACAAACTGTTTTCTCTTTTGCGTGTATATTATTTAACAAGACCTACTCTCTCTTTGTGTTGTCATATAAGTGTGGTAGGCAGTCGCATTTCGTATCACGTGATCACAGGCATCTGAGGTTATTTACCGTAGTGTATCTCATAGAGCTGACCATTGATAATCCTAATATCGTCAAAATCATTATCATCGTCATTATCAATATTACAATGAAACATTGTGTATACCATTCTCGTTATAAAACAATTCATTCTGGGAAGAAACGTTTTTGTGTTTGTAACTTGTATGTCCATTAAACTCTAAAGATAGAAGATGATGTTGTTGTTTTTTCTCAGTTTTTTGTACAACGGTATAATAACAAACTAAAACCACCAAATCAATTAAAAATCAGCAATGTACAACGGTATAACAAACTAAAACCACCAAATCAATTAAAAATCAGCAATGCAGAACGGAATAATAACAAACTAAAATTACCAAATCAATTAAAAATAATCCAATTATTCCTAAAAACGTCTAAGGAGACTCGATTACATGAATGAAACGTAAAGACAATCTGTATGTAAAACGTATCGGTTACAGGGGTGCTGTACTTCCCATGGTGTTACACAACGTGTGTGAGACGTAAGTTACTGATAAATAATGAACAAATGATCACCTGTTGTGTTGATCAAACCGACATCTTTCGGAAGTTGGAAATTCTAGAAAATTATAAAACTGACAATGTCCAACTCGGACTATTACAATTGAAGCGAAATCTAGACAATATTCTCAATATTGATACACGACGAAACTACTAACGTGAAATTGATTCAAATCGCGCAAACGTATGAATTTCATCGTAAAACCCTAAATATTGTATTCGATTTATTCTTTTGCAGCAATTAACACAAGACATTGTCGATCATTGGCTTTTATAGGAAAAACCTTTGAGTAACAGTACAAACTAAAACCTAAGATATTTTTGTCATGGACAAATGATAAAATATTTTTCAGGGGGACGGATAACTTCAGTAGATAGATAAAATAATTTATGTCACAATTGAATGATTCCATTCCAGCAGTGCATCTAAGATCCTCAATATTAATATGCTACAAGTCGTGTCTTTGGATGGTCAATGATGAGGACATCATTTTATAAAGAAAACATATTAGTCTTTCGACCATAGCTTTAAGTGTATTATCGATACGTGACGAAACACGGTACATATGGTCAGGACCAGAAGATGGTGTGCAGTGCCTAAAGCACCCCAACGCTTGGTGCTGAAAATGTGTCGAAAAGTTCAATATAAAAACAATCACTACGGCATGCTCCTGTTTAAATACTCCTAGTTTTGCTTTACGATCTGACTGAAATGTGAACCAGTTGAGCTAGTTTCCAACCTTTAAAATGGGTTGTTTCTGCGTTATTTCAGTAGTTTTACTGAAATAGGAGTTTTACTGAAGTAGGAAATACTTCCAATATTTGTCATTACTTAGGAAGTTTCTTTTGCCATTCAGATTCCATATAAAATGAAAACGTTTATGTACAAGGTGATTGTTACAGATCAAAGTGAACGCGTTTACTTGATATGCCTTCAACACGTCAAATTACCAATCATTAAATCAATTACATTAACTCACGGCTACTTAGAGAGCAGTTGGTGATTTCAGTCACCCGTAGGTTTAGCCTGAGCATTAAGGTAATAGGATTGTGTCGCCATTTCTCAGTAGAATTTATCCAAATTTTGTAGATATATTGCTTTGAAGTAAAGAACATTTTCTGCCACAAAAAAATATAGGTTGTCAGAATTTTAAGGATTTTAAAAGAAAATTTATGTAAAAAGGAGTGAATTCTGAAGAAAAAATTGAAACACAATTTCTTGCAAAATAATGTCAATAAAAATGATACTAACATAGATTAGTATTGCATTGATGTATATCAATTTCATAAATGCTGAAATTGTGTACAATTAATTATCTATAAACGATTAAAAATTGACATTTTATAATAAAAGCATATACACATAGTAATTGCCTGCAAAGAGTTATCGTTCTTGAAAAACTTCACAGCAGTGAAATAGGTAGCCGGTTTCTGAAGTACAGAAAAATCGACACACGTAACTCATTGATTAAAAAACAACTGAATTAATGTCTGGATTGCTTTACAATACTTTAATATCGAAAGAACACACTGTTCTGTCAATAATAAGCATACAATATTCATCACTTTAATATTAAACATTAGATTATGCGGAAATTGTGATACTGTCTCCCTTCATTGGTTTTCAACTAGGGATTTACTTCCTATTTCCATTTAGCAATACATTCCTATGACCTTAAGCTAAGCAACATTTACTATTTTTTTAACAAATTTTAAAAAGTTCAATATAAAAATATTTATGCAAACACTTTTTTTCAATCGACAAAATGACCGTATTGTGCAGAAAAAAATGGTAGCCTTGTTTGTTTCTCTGCATCAGTTTACTAAGTTTTTTAATAGCTTCTTCTTTACTTCATATTGATAGAGATTGTTACGTCATCAGGTGCTTACAGGCGGACTGCTACTGTTGCCGTAACTTTATAGCTTGAAGTCGGACATGGATAACCTGAAAAAAACTAGTTAAGAATAAATTAACTTTTGCTATCAAAAGTTGTAAATTGTTACGTTATAAAGGGTTCTGGAGACGCTATTTTCTACACATTTCGAAACACTCCAGGCTTGAAGTTTGCTAACGAGTCCCAAATGGACGA